CACCCCATATAATGTGTTAAGGTCTATTCTAATTTCATTTGCAAATTGAACCTTTGGTCTGGTAAATTTTCTCTTCACTCTTTTATGATAATCTGTTACACTCCACACGACCGCAATCAATATTAAAACGGAGTAGAAAAGACTCACTACAGATCCGATGTGTATTAGCACCTTTGTATATTTATCTGATATATAGGAAAGATGAAAGTAGGAAAGCAAGAAGAGAAAAAAGATAATAACAAATCGAGTTTACAGTTTAAATTTGCTGGAAGACATTTACAGTCGCCCCATTTAACTCTTCAGTTAAGGAACTCAATGGATTACTCATGAAATCTCCTGAACTGTGACCATAGAACTCTCTTTATTGCCTCGGACTTGACTTCAATTCTTCATTCTTGATCGAAATGTATGGATACTGAAACAAAGATTCAATTTTGTTCTCAACTTCCCACGTCAAGTCTTCACTATTTTCCAACATTCTTGGCATCTGAATTTCAGCTGTATTCTGATATCTACGTACATTTGAACTGTTACTTGAACTCATTCTTGAAGTTGAGCTACTAGCAAAATCAGTTTCTGTGATCTGTCCATGTTCTAATTTTGTTATACTTGTCTCTGAACAAAACCCATAGTTTGGATTCCTGTTGAATTCGCTCTGACGATGATCATTAGGTCTCATATTTTGCTGGTATTGAGCTAATATTTCTGAATTATACCCATTCGGATTTACATTGGCTTGGAATTCATGAATATACAGAAGATCAAATACCTGTTTGCTTACAAATTCGTCTTTTGAAGCTTCTGTTAATTGTCCATTTACCTCACTGTTAAAACTTCTACTATTAGTCAGGTGAAATGGTTGGTCCATTAATCCAGCTGACGGTATCTGCAACATTGAGGTCTTATTTGTACAATTCTCTTCATCCTTTACTTGATCCTCACTTAGTAGCTTGTGAGTATTTGGATCAATCCCCTGCTTTATTAGTTTCTTTTTCAAACTGGAATTCCAGAAATTCTTTATTTCATTATCTGTTCTTCCTGGTAATTGTGCAGCAATTTGTGCCCACCTGTCATATAGCTAAATAATTAATTAAGTACTAAGTAACCAAAAAGATGAAAAAGGAGAAGATGAATAACCTATTTCCGAGAACTTGATGGAGACTAATGATCCTATCTTCTTCATCCGGTGAGAACATTCCTCTTTTAAGATCAGGCCTTAAGTAATTTATCCATCTCAATCTGCAACTCTTTCCACATCTTTGCAGGCCTGCAACATTTCACAGCATAAGGAAAATGTCATTAATTGGCATAGAGCAGAAAAAGGAAACTAAAAATAATGGCAGCTGCGGTGCACAAAGCATCTCTCATTCACGCAGGTCCGGAGAAGGATCGCATCCCAAAGGGCCGGGTGTAATATAATCTAGGCAGCTTATTCTGATGCAAGCATCAATAACGGATTCCACGGCTTGAACCCGTGATCTATAGGTCACACAGACAACTTTACCGTTGCTTCAGAAAAAAGGAAATTGAACAGAGAATAGAGAATTAACAGTAAAAACGTTTTTAATAATTACCAGCTAGCTTAGGGACAGAACTCCAGGAGCCAACACCAAATTTGGTGATATAATTACTCAATTTCTCATCTTCTTCTGGGGACCATAATCCTTTCCTTAGCTTCTGCTTCACACAACAAGAATGGCGCCCCATTTATTTGACTGTTGCCGCCTTATAGTATTTCTGCACCTAGCTTTCAACAGTGACTGCTTGTCTTATAGCTAAAAATTTCAGGTATGGAAGCGAGATTATAAAGTCATCAGCATTAATATTTGAGAGGAAAACATCAAAGATAATCTGTCATTCAAAAGAAGTCTACAGAAAATTCATACTTAGACCTCAAGCTAGGAGAGAGAGAGAGAGAGGGGAAAGAAAGTGATTTTGAAGCAAATTTTGGTGCTGCTTTTGAATTGGAGTGGATTGATTTTTGAGATATCTCTAGATTCTAGGGCGCCGTTTGGCCATGAGTTTTGACAAAATAAATTTGGGATTTATTTTTAAAACTCATGTTTGCCACAAATCCCAAATCCCAAACCCCAAATCTCAAAATCATCCCAATTGCTGATTTTGGGTTAAAATTCCAAAACTTGGGAATTATATATATGTTTTTTCAAAATAAAGTTGGATAATATGTTTTGAAAATGTATGTCCAAACATATTTTCATTTTCAAACCAAACTTCACCCAAATCAGATTTTTCAAAATAAATTTGAAATTTATGGCCAAACGCTAGCTAAGTATATATACAAACTTGCAGAAAAGAAAAAAACAATAAATATAAGATAGAAAGGAGAAGTCTATAAACGTGCTGTTAAGAGTAAGAATACAGTTAAGTGTACTCAATTTTAACTCTACAATCGCAATTATACAGTATGATTGAGTTTATGTAGTGTTAGTTGCATCATTTTCCTTCACAAATTATCGTTTAGACAGATGTTGCAATTTGATAAGAGGCTAATGGGACCCTTCATTTACTAATTAGCATGAGTTTAATTCGAATTAGCTATATGCAGGGAGCCTTGGTATAGTTGGTAAAGTTGCTGTCATGTGACCTGGAGGTCACGGGTTCAAGCCGTGGAAACAGCCTCTTGCAGAAATGTAGGGTAAGGTTGTGTACAATAGACCCTTGTGGTCCAG